TGTGGCAATATGCTGGAGAACTCAGGTTCCCTTGGGGAGGACAGTAAGATTTTAATTGTACCACCCCACAGGAAGGCATATTGTGTTTGACTTTTTAAAATATTGGTGCTCAAAAACAAAGCATTAGTTAACTATATCAAATCATAGCAGGCTTCTTTGTTCTGCTGAAACTCTTGAATAGTTTTCACCACATCCAGCATGACGGAGGCTGTTGGTGAACACAAACGGCAACAGTCAGCCGGCCCATCCGCCAGGTTTATCGTGGAACAGACAGGCTATTCTAGGGAGAACTAATGAGAACTAGCACCGCCGCCTCCACCATTCCCTTAATCAGAGATGGCAGTTCCATTATCTTCCTGGAATCCTGCACTGTTTAATATTTACTACATAAGAAGATTTAGGGAGTTCTAAGGGCTCCCATTTTATCTAATTAAAACTGGGCTAAGGAATGACTAGCCCAAGATTAGGCTCAAGCCAGAAACGACAAGATTCTTCATTTCTGTGCCAAATCCTTTCCAATTACACATTTAGCCAAAGGCAATGCCACCTACTGGATATATTTTACTCTCTTTTACCCTAGCTACAGTTTTTAGTATGGCCATGATACCTTTGCCTCCTTTCCTGCTCCAGTACTTTCTCTTTTGCTCTCGATTGCCTTCTTATTCCTCAGCAAACCTATATTTCGCTCTGGCATCAGGTAATCCCCAAAAGCTGTGTTCGCTACCCCCAGCCATTCAACTTTAACCACAGCCTTAGAGCCTAGCTCAGAATTGGGCAGGGAGATCCTGGCCTTCAAGTCGGTCTTTTTCCCTTTCAACTGCCTCAACTGATGGAGTAAATTTAGCAACCCAGCAACCCTTTTCAGCGCCTTTTGTTTCCATTCCCCACTGGTACCATGGGACTTAACTTCTGAGATGAAAGGAACAGATCTAACAGGGTTCTTTAGGGGAGGCAGCTGCAGAAACTGGAACAGATTTCCGTCCTCCCAGCAGGCAATAATGTGCCAGGAAATCATTCAGGAATCCTGTCCCTTTTCCCTGTGTTCTTTGTCTCTCAATAGCCACCTAAAGAGAGTTAACAGATTTACCTCTGGCTATGATCTTTCTTCTGAATAGCCCAGGTTTTCTTGCCATGAATGAAATCCAGAATGACAGCTGCCAAGAGTAAATAAATGTACTCATGAGTCCTTATACCCTCCTGCCTTCCCAAAATGAGAGCCACATGCCTAAGCGACTCCTCTAACCAGTGTCTACCAGAGTGTAGATCAGACAGTATGGTTTGGGTAGGCTCATTTCACACTGTCTTATCTGCAGCCCAGGTCTGCTACTACACTTCACAAATCTCCTCTTCTACAGAGGTGTTCTACTTCACAGCACTGAGAGATCCCATTAGTTTCGCTTCTCAGCTAGATTCACACAACTTCAGGTTTCACTTGTTGCAAAGGGCCGTTGATATTATTATCCCTGCCAGTAATTCCTGAATTCCTTGCAACACTGCAGCAAGTTGGGGGTTAGCATTCACAACAAACATTACTTTTCGTGTTGCAGTGTCCAAACATATGTTATTAGCTCCTAGGTCAATTGACCTAAATATCCGGGAAAGCATGGATTGCCCAGATATCTGCCAGCAAGTATCACTTCTCAGCAAAGTGACCAACTCCTTTATATTAATACTATAATTGCTGTGTTTAATTTGGTAGCTACTAGCCATACACGGTTATTTAGCACTAGAAATGTAGAGTCTGAATTGAGACATGCTGTAAATATAAATACATACCAGATTTCAAGGACTTAGCATGAAATAAAGAATGTAAAATATGTCCTCAATTTTTACTACAAATAAATGTTAAAATATTTTGAACATATTGAGTTAAATTTTTTAAAAATTAAAATTAAGTTCACCTGTTTCTTTTTACTTCTTAAATATAGTTAATGTAAAATTTAAAATTACACACATGACTTCCCTTTGTGGCTCACATTATATTTTTATGGAACAGGGCTGCACCACAGTCACTTGTTTCCAATGTCACTTGCCTGTGGTTGCAGAAGATGGACATCAATATTAAGTGTAATGTCCTTCCAAGGCCCAACCCGGCTTTTGTTTTCATCTCCAACACAGGTCATGAAGCTCCTTGCTCTACTTGCTGTTTCTCTTTCCCCAAGGTGGTTTCAGTTTCATGCAGCTATTAATTAATAAGGAAATAAGGAATTCATTGCATGTTGAGCCACTTTCCCTTCAGTTTTATTTCACTGATGATCCATTTGCCAAATGAACAGGGGATAAATCTGTGCCATCCATATTCCAATAGTAAGATTCAAGCCCAGTTATTTTCTGCAGAGCTTTTGCTACCTAATACCCAGTTTGGATCAACATCAGATTCTTTCCAGAACTCCCTCTCAGAACTTTTGGCCATATTGAGTTTGAACGGACCTGAAAGGTTGGTCAACTTTCACCACTGCTGAGATTTGAGATTCAAATTGTCATTCAGACTCTCCAGACACCAGTAGTCTTAAACCTAATATTATATTTACTCAGCTTTATAGGAGCTAAGGCAGGAAACTCATCATGCCTAAGGCATTTTCACTGCACAGAGACTCAGCAGTTTCTCAAGAGCATAGCTTCTTTTGCCCCCTCACTCACACAGGACATGTAGGTACAACTACCATGGACAAAAGTCAAGGTATGTATGATTGCCCTGACACACAGTAGTGATAGCCTTTGTTTCGAACCAAACTTGTATACCATCTAGTCAGGTAGGCCAAAGGTCTTCAGGCCAACACACAGCAACCCCAAAGCAGGTGCAGTCCTTAACATTAATGATGTTAACTCCAATTCCATCTAGTCAGGTAGGCCAAAGGTCTTCAGGCCAACACACAGCAACCCCAAAGCAGGTGCAGTCCTTAACATTAATGATGTTAACTCCAATTCCCCACGTACTGTAACTCTTATTGTTTCTAAGGAAATGAAGAAATAGGAGTCAGGGGTCATTCCTAGCAGTCCTGTAACAGCCCAGACTGATGTTACCCTTTACTTACAGTCAGTTATGTGGAAAGACACAATTGAGAAAAAAATCAGTTGTTCACTGTGTTAATTTTAAGTGGATTACCTCAGTTTTGAGATGAGCAGCTGGGGTCTCTAAAGGTTTTAAAGGAAGTTCTCCAGAACAGATGGTTTGAAAAGTAGGCAATGAATTCTGCTTTACTAAACGTATCAGCTAGAATCCTGAAATCTTAGCATTTTGGTAAAGAATTTCCCAAATGCTTCAACTAATATGTCAACACCTCATTGTAAATGCTCATTAAGAAGCTATCTTTTGTCCTATTCTCTGATAGATTTTTTTTATATAGCTTAAGAACCTATTTTATACTTTAACATTCAGCTGATTTGCACACAAAACAGTACAAATTACCCAGTAACCTGTGTTTTCCCTCCAGCATGCAAACACTGGCATAATTTGCTAAATTATAAGGATGCTATTTTAGCACTTACGTATAGTTTAATCCCTAGTATATCTACTTTTTTCCAAGATGCAGAAAATATAAAGCAAACAATAAATTTGCCTTAAAATTTTCGTGGAAGCCAAAGAAATGGTAGTCTAAATGAACACGCTTATTAAAAAGTACTAGAAAATAACTGATTTACAATTTTTGTAAGATTATAACAGTAACTGCAGGTAATTTGGATTGTCAGCTTTTATTTCAAATATGCATCCTCAAAATTCAATTGCTTATATATGTCTTATAGCTGAAATCTTTTCCAGTAATTATATGCTTTTGTTTTTCACATGGAATTACCTCACTTTCATAACTGCCAAAAAAGCTATTTTATACATTACTGAATTGACTTTGGTCATCTTCTCATTTTTACAATCCATATAATTTCTATTTTTCACTTTCATATTTTATAATATACTGTTTGTGGAACAGCTACTTTCATAGACCCAAAATAATTTTCAAGAATTTGAGCCAATTAATTATTTTATATTTTATAGTACTATGACAAAGTATTATCACAGGAGATATTTGACTTTATAAAATGTCTTATTTTATAAACTGTCAATTTTAGTAGCAAAAAAAACCCTTATTCATAGATGTAGCCATCTACTGTTACATTCTAAACAAATGCATTAAATTATTCATTAACAATTTTCATTATAAATTAAATATTTTATTTCTCTATCATGACCACATCTCATTTATCATGTTTATTAAATAATTTTTTCTTTAAATTTTAGTTTTCATTTACATTCATGGAAAATTCTCAATTTGCTACATCTGAAAGTAATCATACTTTTTAGAACATAAGTTATAAATAATAAGCTTATAAGTTTATTTCTTTAACATGAAATAAACTTCTGAAAAATTGTATTCATAATTTCAATCAAACCAATGTGCCTGAAAAGTAATTGTATATAAATCAGAATATACAACTATCTTATAGATTTTCCAAAAAGGTTAGTGTAAAACAGAGAAGTAGCATAAAATGAGCATAACAAAAACCAAGCCATGTTATTGAACTAGAATGTATTTTCCAAGGAAGTAATTTAAAATTGCAGGAAACAAGCATTAAAAAGTTGGCCTCCATGAAAAAGAAAAATTCAGTCAATGATGCTGGTATCCCCTTTGATATCACATATTTATCACAATGCAGAAAAAGACTAGTAAATGAACATACATAACACAATATCCCAATAGCTTTTTGTCTTGGTCTCTTTATTTAGATATTCTAGCAATATGTAGACACTGTTGGAATTTTAGTTTTTCTATTAAAACATATCTTTTAAGAGATTCATATTTACTAATGGGCACTCTCTATGATGTAGCAGGAATAAATGAATAAAACTTCAATGGGAATAAAAGCAACTCATCTTTATATGCTTCAGATATCTTTTCCTTATATTAAATATTTACTGTGATAAAACTTAAGTTATGATTCTGAAATGCCTATTATACATGCTCTGTTCTATTACTAACGGGTTTTCTTACATTTTTCTTTGACAGGATGATGAGGTAAGGGAAAGTCGATTCAGCTTCACAGCCTATGGAATGGGACCATGTCTACAAGCAAAAGACGGTGTCACGCCAAAAGGCCCAAACCTTCCTGTCCAGGTAATGCCAAAAAGCCCTGATGAAATGAGGAAGGTCTTTATCGACAGGGCCAAGAAGATTGACACCATCTCTCGAGCCTGCTTCCCATTAGCCTTTTTGATTTTTAATATTTTCTACTGGGTTATCTATAAAATCCTTAGGCACGAGGATATTCATCAGCAACAAGATTAAGTCTCTGAAGGCAAGCAAGTGCAAATGTCGATTCAAAAGACAGTTTATTTGCCATAGGTGTGTGTGTGTGTTATGTCTCTGTATGTGTGTATGTGTGTGTGATATACAAATGATGACCACTGTATTAAACAACATAAGGGAAAGGGTTATATTTTGGTTTGCTATGCAAAGTCATAAGACAGATTAAGATTCTTTTAATGGATAGAAAATATATATTAAGGAATTATATTTCATATTAATTAAAGGTGATTTGTTTTTTCACAGAAAATCATATATGTGGAAGTTTTACTGCCAACAAGTTTATGTTATATAATATCATGTAATAGACATGAAACTACTTTTGAATTTCTTTTTAATTCAATGCTACTGAATCCTACACAAAGGCAAAATTTGCACAGTAAATTTTATGAAAGGAAAAGGGGGGAATATGATAAAAATAAAAATCAACGGCTGGAGATGTAAAGCTATTTCCTTATAGTGTACTTAAAAATAGGAAAATAATCAGTTAATTCAGTGGAAAACTGACACATATTAATAGAGGATTGTACATACAAACACTATAGAACCAACATATGTAATTATAAAAATTTTCAAATTAGAAGATAAAATATAGGACTTACATTGTTTAGAATACTAAGCTTAATTGTTTAGAAGACCAAATTTCCCTCTATGCAAATTTAAAATGAGTAACATAAGAGATCATATTACATACAAAATCTACTTTTCTCAAACTCTACATCTCTAGGAATGAAGATGGAAATACTGAAAACAACTGTTTTTAAATAAGTGTTATAGCTATATATTTTTAATTATTGCCAAACACTGAAAACTTCAAGCCAGCACCTTTGTTTTTATTAGATTTTTAATAGCTGCTTAACTGTTGGTATGTGGTTGTGTTTAATGTTTTGATGTAATTAAATAAAGTTCAGTAAGACTTTCATATTTTAGTTTAGAATGAGACTTTAAAATTTCATGGGATTAAAGTATATACATTTTGATAAAAATGAATTCAAGGAAAACAAAAATGAATTCATAAAAGATGTTTTTAATAAGAATAGTTTTCCCATCAAAGTTATATGGGTTCAAACTCCTATCTCTAAATATAAGTAGGAAAATTTTAATTCTAAGTGATATAAATAACTCATTTCTATAAAGTTAGGATTGTTTTATATATCTGACCTAATGATTTCAAAATATAAGCCATTCACAAGTTGTGAATAATTTTAAATGACATTTTTACATAAAATTTATCAATGACCCTATGGGATTATATCAACTATAATGGGGCATTAACTCGTTTTGTGCAGTGTAATCAGGTATAAATGTATGACAGAGTTGTTGGTTAAATTTAACCAGACTCTGATTCTTTTTAAGTTTTGATATTATATTTTTAAAATTATTTTTTACCACCAATTCTGTGTTTTAAAAAGCTTTAAAATGCATCTTAGATATTTTAATTGGTCAGATACACCAAATGGAAACTCAGTATACCAAATTATTGACAGAGAAAAGTGTAAACATTAGGAGAACAGTTAACTCAGATATAAGATAGAAAAGTAAATCAGTTCTTGAACCAGATGGTACTATTTTCAGACCTTCCACCACTCTCAAACTAAAAGCAAAAACTGCCATTTAAAACTATAAACTTTTCAATGTTACTGAACTGGAGCTATCCCATTGTAATTTTTTAAAATATCTATTTAAAAAATACATTCAGTAAAATACATTTTGCTAGTAAAAATCCAAGCTCTCCTTCTTTATAAGTAATTTGAAACACTACAAGGAAAAAAATATCATCATTTTGGGCATTATATGCAAGTGCCACAACTAAAATAATGTGTTACTATGTACTTTCTTACTTTGAGGACTGTTTATCCAAAAGCTAAATATATGCTTCTTCATTTGATGTGTATGAACCAAAACCATGGAAATATATTCTTGTACTAAAGATTAGAGCAAGACATGTTGTGTGCTTCCTGAGAATTAGGAAAGGCTGAAGTAATGATAAACTAACTACATTGTCTCAATATGCCTCTGAAATACTTGAATACATTCCTTGATACTTTATACATCTTAAAATTTTTTCCAACATTGCTTAAATTAAGTGAATTCTACCATAAGCAAACAGAAATATAATAAACATAAACATGATACTTCTAAAAGACACTCATAGACATCACTGTTTTCACATTTGAGGATATTAAAGATGGCTTTACATCTGAAACTTAGAATGTAAAAATACCAACCATAAGACAATTTGTCAACAATGGTGTTGGTACACTAGAATTCTCTCTGTCTCAAATTACTACACTTTCCTTAGGCATAATTTCTATTTCCCATTACACTTGTTACTGTCAGTGATTACTACACTAAGAAACTATAACAGCCTTTACTCACAAGACAACAGTGACAAGGAAAACATGGCTGAATCCAAAATGTTTAAAGGAACATATCTCCTCTAATGAACTCCTATAGACCCTTTAAAACTGTAAAACTACATTGTAATTAGCAACCTGCGATAGTATTTGCCTCAGTAAGCCCTGTGTCAAACTAGAATATTTCAAATTAAACCAACCACAACATTATTGATGAGAAATTAAAAATGTGTGCATAAACATTAACTACCATTAGTTGGAATTCTAATATAGATACTCTAAAGTATTTTGAAATAGCCACATTAGAAAATATGGGATTTTTGTGCAAGCAGTTTATATCACTTTTTTAAAAGAATTATGTATCTCAATCATTGAAATATTTGGTTCCATAGCACTTTTAGGAAATCTTGTGCCTTAGCATATATGTGCCCAACTTTTTTTTTTCCCCAACCGTTAAAACTGGACTTAAACTATAATGGGGCCCTAGAATTTTCTTTACTTCTTAAAATAGATTCCAGACTCGCTGTTTAAGCAAGAAAGCCAAGAGTCTTTAAAACTTCTCTATCCTTTCCCGAAGTTTCTCCATGACACCTGGAGAGCCCATTCAACTCTCAGCTGCTATATTAGGAATCATTATGAATGCTCATCTTATTCTAGAATGAATTCCTATTCTATGGGTATATTCTAATAACCTTTATCTTAATTTTGAATTATAAATGATTAAACATCTACATATCCTTAAGATATAAATAGATCTATTAGTTCATGAATGCCTAAAATGTTATGGAAGATAATGGAAATTTTACAACAAAATGTGAAAAAAATAAGCCAAAATGTTTAACAAAAGAAAGCAAGCTCTTAACTACTTTAGTACTCTGTGCAATGTAAGTAGTTATAATACTGGGAGAAAATTTGGGTCTACCTTTCATAACTTATACATCCCTTTTCTTAGTATCTTTCATGCCGTTTAAAAATATATACTTTTCTATTCTTCTTAACCTGACACACCTTAATTGCTAGTTACTTGAGAGGATTGAATATTTTATCAGCAGCTAAATTTTCCTTTCATCTATAAAGTACACATTCCATGAAATGGACTTGAGAGAATTTGGGACTTGCCAAAATTCAAATAGAAAATATTTTCAATATTTTGTAAATAGGAAACTAGGAAATTGGCAATACTGTAATTCAGAGGTATCTCCTAACAACAACTTAAAGCACTCTAAGAACAAAACTGTGTGAATGAAAAATATGCCTAATGACCCTTAGACAGATCATTAACAATCTTTGAAGTCATAATGTGTCTTATTCCAACATAGATTACACACAGGTTACAACACAGATAATAGCATAAACTCTCAATTTATCAGCATATATACCACCTGTGTTTCTCATCTAGTTGATGTTGACCTAGCAAAGTATAGGACAATTCCAAGTATAAGACAATCTGGTGCTTTTTAATGCAGATGTTAGAAGACATAGTGTATATGGACACACAAATTCTCTTTTGGTTGAATGCAAATTAAAATAGCCATAATATCCATTGCACTTTTATTCCTGTATAAGAGACAGCTTCTTCAGCAGATATAATACATTGGTTTATATTTTTTAAATCGTGAACTACAAAGAGTGGTAAAATATATCAATCTTATTTTATTTTCATTATTATATAGACTTTGCATGAATAAATATTGTACACTACAAACTGTATTAATTTTAAGCTTTTATCCCAGCCCCAATTCCTCTTTAAAAACAGTGATACTAAAAAGTGAGCTTCCACAGGGAGACAGCTGGTATTCTAATTACTAAAAAAGTAAGGTGATGCATGTTCTTCCTTAACAAAGATCCTTAGAGCCCATGTATAAAATATAACTTCCTACAATTTAAAAGTAACTAGGGCAGGGAAAATATTCTGGACAAACTTCTCCCAGAAACCAGGTCAACAGATATAGAAATCCCAAGCTAGTAGCTAGATGATCTTACCTGATTTTTTGATCTATATTTTCCATCTTAATGCTGCCTTCATCTTTCCCTTTTTCTTTACACACACACACATACACACATGCACACATACATACAATTATATGTTGGTAATGGGCTAATTCCGTCAAATTAAAAATACAAAGGGAGTCAACTTTATTGGGAAAAGGTCCATAATTCTTTTTACAATATTTTACAATATTTTACAATATTAAGTGATTCTTGGTAGAAAACACGAATAGTACAGTCATTTAATTTGGCCATCTTTTAATCATGAAATAATATTTTGCCTCAAAAATATATAAACAAAGATATCCAGATAAAATATTTTCTCTAACTCTTAAAATGGAATTCTAAAAAATTATTTGGACTGTCTTTAAAGAGTGACTAAATACTTGGCAAACAGTTCTTCCAAAAGAAAACCAGTTAATATTGGATGACTTGGCAGTGTCTTAACAGGTAGTTTTCTCAGTACTTTTTATGGTTCACAAATAAGCAAAATAAAAGAAGAATTGTACAGGTGATGGAGCATTATTTTTTAAAAAGTCATCATTCTGAACGCTGGCTGTATATTGGAATCTCTTAGATGTTTTAAAAAATATGTACATGCTTGGTGTCTAACATAGATTATGATTCAATCATCAACTAAACACATATTCACTGAGCACCTTAGGTGTGCCTGGCACTGTTCTAAGTGCTAAATTCACTGTCTCTTGAGTAACACATAAAAAATTCTGGATTATTGACAAAATTTCACAAGTGAAACAACTGACATGAACATACACAAGCCTTTTCTTTTAGTAACATTCAATTTAACACTTTAATTTTATAATTTTTTCTTTCTTCAAGCAATCCATTTTGTCTCTCATTTTTATTCTTAGAATTAAAAATAAACTGTTGAGGTGTTTCAGTTCCCATTTTCCTCCCAATGTCAGAATCTTAACCTTTACATTGTTTACATTCTTAGCATCCCTGTAGCAATGGGTAGCTCATTGCTCTGAAGGCAGCCTGCTCATTGTAGCATAACTCTCTATGATAAAAAACGTTAACCTTCATCAAGAAATGACTTTTTACTTCCTAAAATAATAAACCTATTCCATTCCGAGAAGACAGCCCATAATATACTTTCTCATATCAGTATTTAAATGTAATCAATATCATTTTTCAACCCCTTATCAGTAGCTTCATTTTTAGTTAAGCCACAGATAAGAGCACTTTAAGTATTAAAAAATGATGATATATTTCTAGGTTTATAAAATAATGAAATATAAAATTATTGCCTACATGATAAATAGAAATTGATAGAAATTTCTATGTAAATTATTTCCAGTAATCTTAAATGTCTTCCTGTAAGTTAGCAATACCTTTAGATTAAATATTTAAAAATTTATTTCAGATATAGACATTATATAAAACCATAGAAAGTAATATGAATTTAAAAAACTATCAGCCAAACAATACACATTTTTGAGTAAACTATAATAAAAAGTCAATGAATTGATTAAATTGTTTTATTTAAATAGTTGATTTTTCTCTGGGGTGGTTTCTGTCAAGGTGCCTTTGGGCAGCCCTACTTACATATACATTACCCAGCCTGGCTTGTTAATATAGGAAGATGCAAGGAGCTGAGGCTTAAATGCCAGGAAAGGATTCAGTTGTAAAACTGTACTTGAATGTGCTTGAATAATTTGCACTCCTTCGCTTTTATCTCCATGAATTATGCAATGGCCATTCCTTAAATCTGTATTGTAATGTATGACAGATGATAATTCAGGGGGGAAAACAGAGTGGAGTGCCATGACATTCCATGGATATAATATAATGTGCTGTGAAAAACAAAACAAAAAAAATGTGCCATATATTTTCCATGTAACATCATAACATGGTATACAGTGACTTCATTATGAGTGAGCCAAGATGTTTAAAGGACTACCAAAAAAAGTATTGCTATTTTAGTGTGTTAATTATTTTTCTGTCTTGAGTCTTATGTCTCAGTCTTTCTTGCTGTCCAGATAATATCATATTTTTCCAAGAAATTATATTGAAAATATATTTAAAAATTTATGCACGATTTTATCAACTTGTTTTTCATTATATTATCTTTAGTTCAATTCTGAAACTAACAAACTATCAGAGTCATTAACTCGTGAACGGTATAGTATTTATCTTGTAACTGTACGTTTGATCAAAACCAATAAAAATGAACACTTTTCAAGAATATGATACATCTTTCGTCTAATTTTTTAAGACCAAATGTTATCAAATGATTATGTTTTCCTAACAAAAGTCATTATACATTTCTGTTCTGATGGACACTATTACGTCTACGAATACAAAGCCAGTGATGTATCATTCGCAGAAGTTTCAATATATGCATTCCATTACAGGAAAAGTACAACAAGGAGGATAATGAATGGAACTTTTCTACTAAGGATAAAATGAGAGAAGATATGTTACTAACTGGTACAATACTTTTGTACAATAGTACTAACTGGTACTATTGTATTTGTAATTTTTTCTTTGTTTGCTTGTTTGAAAGCCTTTTCCTTAAAATCTGTTTACTGAATAAATCACTTATACTTGGCTTACCCATAGAGACTATTTCAAAATGGAATGCTGATCTTTTTTTAATCTGTAATTTCATCTTGCCTTTTTTCCCCCACACAATTAGGGTAGAATTTAATGCTAGGATAATAGTAAAGAAATAAGAAAAAATTTAATGTATAAGAAGTTTAAGAAAATATTGCAATTTTGTATGCAATGACTTGTCTCTCATTTTTAAAGTACCTATAATTTATATGTAATAGTCTTCCACATAATTTTATATATTTTTGACACGAGGTTCAGGAAAATTAATAGATTCAAAATTCCTTGCTAAATTGGCATTATGATTTCCCTCAATGAGCTGGCCCTTCACTCACTGTTTGAATGGTTCACATCACAATATCAGCACGGCCATAGAATCAGGTAAGCACAAATACTAGAAGTATCTATAGGTAATAACAGATCTCTAAACAAGATATATAGGAATAAATGTAATGTGACTAACAATGGCGAGAAGCTTATTGGGAAACTATGATTTGCTTAAATCAATTTGAGATACTATGGTTTAAAACATTTTCATTATTCTCATGATATTCACCATATTTAATACCACTAAATTGGTTTCACGAGTTGAATGGCTTTTTAAAATATATTCCTTCTTTGTAATTTTGTATGATTACTTTGTTAATTACCATCCATGAGAATCTTAAATCAGAATGAGGCCATAGTTACTGAAAAATAATATACTATAAATATTTAGATATTTTGTGTTTATGTTTCGTTATATGTGAACTCACATGGTGTCTTATCCAGTGATGTTAGCTGATGTTCTCCATGCAACATTGCACTTCTCTAAGAGTATCTAAAAACTGCTAACTGGAAGTTGGGTTTTGAAAAGAGGCTGGCACTGTCATGGAAAACCAGAGTTTGACGTAAGTTAAAGCAGCAAGAGCAAATTTTATTCAGGAACTACTACAATGGGTGAGAGAGACCTAGGCATGGCATGGGGCTCCATTTTGACTGGAACAAGAACAAGTGGGGATTTATGGACAAGTAGAGGTCAGTGGAAGGAAAATCACTAAGAAACATCAGGATAAGAGGGATTCTGGCTAAACTGACTCAACAGGATTGCTGCTGAAGGCAGGCCAGGGTGACAAGGAATTCGATCAGATATCAACGGTAGGAGATTTTCACTAAACTGACCCAGCAGAATTCTTGTCAAAACTGAACTAAGGTCCTCTGGTCCAAGGACAGAACCCACGTTGGGGCCTAGTCAAAAAGGGAGCTCAGAGGAACATGACCAAAGTGTAGTCTAAGAGAGAATCTCGTCATTATTCATAGTCCATTCTGTGACATGAGGAATGTGTTGCCTGAAAACGTTTTCTCCAAACAATACTAGTTAAAAATCAAAGGACATTTCTATGCCATTCTGTGGTCTATAATGGCTCTTGGTCTCCCAAACATGTTTCTGTTCTTAAGACATAAAAAATCATTCTTTTGAGTTGATGTCAGATTCCTTTTCTTTCTGGGGGTTGAGTGAACCTCTTCTAAATGAATGTTACAGAAATAATTACATTTATAGGGTCTTATTGAAATTGTTACTTCCCCCAAATAAGTAATTTCCTACAGATTGACCTTGTTTAAAATACTTATTCTATGGAAGATCATGCTTATAGGTTTAACATTATATTTCCTAAGTTACTAATCAAAGAAAATTGGAATGAAATATAAATAGGAAACAGTGAATTTATTCAAACTGTGAAAGTATTTGACACAGAGGAAAAAATATGAATACATAGTTTTCATTGCCAAAAGGTTGCTGAAATAAGACTGATAATGGTTTATTAAATCCCTTGAAAGAAATATAGTTTTAATCTATTATACTGTATTTGATAAATACCTGAATGAAGCTAAAAGCCTATTTGGTGATAATATTATCATCTCTGAGTGCGTCCTTTGTTCTCTTCTCCATCATCAGTAAATTGTTTTGAATTTCCACTTTATGAGACCATGAAAACCTCAAGGGATCGCAAACAGGAAACCTTCCTCCATTTTCAAGAGCAAAGCAAAAAAGGAAGTATCTGCAGGCACTACGTGTCACAGACAAGAGGTTTATTTTATTTTCACTTCAGGTTAATATTTTCCCTTGGTAATCAGTAATCTCTAAACAAGACTTTTTATTTTGGTTAGAGATTTTTTCAATCTTTTCTAAAATGATGGCATTTAAATTGATGTGTTGCATACAGTAAATACAAGTATCTTTCCAATTCAGGTGATTTATTTGTGTTTTTTCTTCTTGAATAAAAAAGAGTAATAATGAGAAATAAATGGAAATGCTATATTCTTTGCAATTTACTTTAAAGCAAATAAATCAGAACCTATTCACTGTTGCTGAATTAGTTATGTTTGAAATATCTTTTTCATATTGCTTGCAAAAGTTAATTAATGAAAATATTGGGATGAATGAAAAAAGATGTTATTTTAAATAATAAAAAATATATCTAGGGAAATTATGTTCACATGATTTATTTACCTAATGGACAATATAATTTCATTTCTTAAAAAACTTTAAAAAGTAGTATTAATGTAGTAGGCCAGTGATGCATTGCTTAACAACAGGGATATGTTCTGAGAAATGTATTGTTAGGTGACTTTGTCATTGTGTGAACAACATAAAGTATACTTACACACACCTACATGAGATAGCCTACTAGACCTAGATTATGTGGTATAGCCTATTGGTCCTAGGCTACAAACCTGTACCGCATGTTACTGTACTGAATACTGCAGGTAATTGTAACACAATGGTGTTCATATAGCTAAACATTTCTAGACACAGAAAAGGTGCGGGAAATGTATGGTATAAAAGATTTAAAATGGTACATCTGTATAGGGTACTTACCACAAATGGAGGCTGCAGGACTTGAAGTTGCTCTGGGTGAGTCAGTATATGAATGGTAAGTGAATGTGAAGGTCTAGAGCATTACTGTACACTACTATAGACATTATAAACACAGTACACTTAAGCCACACTAAAATTACCAAAAAATATTTTTCTTTCTTCAAAATAAATTAACTTTAGCTTACTGTAATTTTTTTACTTTATAAACTTTTGAATTTTTAAACTTTTTGACTCTTGTAATAATACTTAAAACACAAATACATTGCACAGCTATACAAAAATATTTTCTTTCTATCCTTATTGTGTAGGATTTTGTCTATTTTTTTTTATTTTTACTTTTAAACTTTTTTGTTAAAAACTAAGACATAAACAAACATATTAGCCTAGGCCTACACAGGGTCAGGATCTTCAATATCGCTGTCTTCCACCTCCACATCTTTTCCCACTGGAATATCTTCAGGGGCAATAACATGCACAGAGCTGTCAAGTCCTATAACAATGTCTTCTGGATACTTCCTAAAGGACCTGCCTGAGTGTGCTTTTTACAGTTAACTTTTGTTTTTATAAAATGACAATAAAAAGTATTGTATAGTAAATACTAGGCAATAGGAACTGTTTAGCTCCATTATAATCTTATGCAACTGCCATTATATTTGCAGTCCATAATCAGCCAAAACATTGTTACATAGCACATTGCTATATTTAATATTGTTAGCATATTTTTATTAATTGTCCCATTGCTATTATGCTAAATAAATTATGCTTATCTTTTAATATGTGCTATGTATTATACATACATACATATATATGTATATATATATATATATATATATATTTTTTTTTTTAGACAGAATCTCACTCTGTTGCCCAGGCTAAAGTGCCATGGCATCAACCTAGCTCATGGCAACCTCAAACTCCTGGGCTCAGGTGATCCTCCTGCCTCAGCCTCCCGAGTAGCTGGGACTACAGGCATGTGCCACCATGCCTGCCTAATTTTTTCTATATATTTTTAGTTGGCCAATTAATTTCTTTCTATTTTTAGCAGAGATGGGATCTTGCTCTTGCTCAGGCTGGTTTTGAACTCCTGGCCTTCAGCGATCCTCCCGCCTCGGCCTCCCAGAGTGCTAGGATTACAGGCTGGAGCCACCATGCCCGGCCTGTATTATAGTCTTAAGCAACAAATTATGACAAGCTCATGTCATTATTAACATTATACTGTTTGATTCTTATAACTCAGAAATACAATTAAAGAGTATAGAAAATAATATATAGTTATCTATTATAATGTCATTATTCTGTCTGAGTTATTTCCTAAGTAAGATAGCCCAAACTCCTTTAGTATATTTACTAAGCATTATAACTCCTAATCACATATTGAAAGGTTTTCACCAAATAAAAATATGATTACAGGCTGGGTGCGATGGCTCGCGCCTGTAATCCTAGCACTCTGGGAGGCCGAGGAGGGCAGATCGTTTGAGTTCAAGAGTTTGAGGCCAGCCTGAGCAAGAGCAAGAGCTTGTCTCTAACAAAAATAGAAAAAATTAGCCACGCATGGTGATGTGTGTCTGTAGTCCCAGCTACTCAGGAGACTGAGGCAGGAGGATCACTTGAGCCCAGGAGTTTGAGTTTGCTGTGAGTGATGCTGACACCACGGCACTCTAGCCAGGGCAACAGAGTGAGACTCTGTTTCAAAAAAATAAATAAATAAATAAGAATATGATTACAGACAGCAACATGCTATGTGCTGC